GACACCAGCAGCAGTAGCATTACGACCAAAGAATAGGGAGCGGAGTGTTGATGCACCTTCTTCTTCAGACATTTTTGCACCTGTGTAAGAACTTAATAAAATAGGCCTTTGATGTTATTATGGAGTTCATAATGGCCTTGCATTGCCTTCGTTGTTCAAGTGCCTGCACTGAGCTCTAAAGTGAACTGCTTATTGTTCGGTTGACTGCAGCAACTAATTTTTTGTTGTTTGAAGTGGCAGAGTGTGCGGCGTGTGCAGCACCGCAGACTGCACACGCGTTCTCATCTGGATGTGCCGCAGGAGGCTAGAATTTCAGTACTTGTATTTACACTTTTAAAATCAGCTTCCTACTTAAGCATGGATCTTTTCAAAATGTATGTATGATGATTTTATTAGAAATAAAGGTTATCAACCAGCCTTAACCAGCAGAAGAGAGGGCCACAGTAGAGGAGAGTGGTGTGCAGAAAGCTAGATAAGATGTAGGCAAGTCTTTTAGCATTGTCCCAGCTGATTGGTAAACAAGTATTTATTGCTGTTGATTTGGTTATGAATATTCATTAAAAATCAATGTCCAGGTTCAAGTGATGTTGTAAAGTGTTGTGCAGCTTCTCTCCATGTTCATCACTGGGGGGTTAATTCTCCCACCCAAGCAACTTGGAGGTGCTCCAGTGGTCTTGGAGACTTCAGGGATAAAGTCCTCCCCGTCAGGTTTTCTTCCTCTGGTGATGGAATGAATTGACATTTGTTTCAGTTTTCTTGACCATGTTGCTTTATAGCTTAAACTTTCATTCCTTTTTTGTTCAGTTGGAAATTGTCCTCTCTCTCATTCTCCTCTGCTTTTGGATTAGGTCCTGCCTGTAAGGTGGGTTCAACCACTCAGACACCTGCTGCTTCAATACATGCTTTCTGGACTGCTGTTCCTTCCACACCTTTAGTGTGACAGGACAGTCCTGTCAGCCCCAGCCTAGATCCAGGTTTCTCTGCACGAAGGCATATTTTACAGGTCCTATAAATGGCAAGGTGTTCATGGCCAGCCAGCCCCCCATGCCAGGACCCAGAGGTCAGAACTGAACCCTCTCTCAAGAAGCTGAGACTTCAGAGCAAAAGCCTGATGAAAAACTTCTAAGCATTTCAGGGTTGAGCTGAGCAGGAAGAGGATATTCATCAGTCCAGAGTCCAAGACGTGCACAAAAGCAGGAGTAGGGATAAGCCCATGAAAGGATCCAAAAAAGGGGTCCTACCCCGACCTACATAGAAGTGGATTTTGAGCTCCAGGGACAAAGAATCAGAGCTCTGATACAGCTCCTTTTTCTTGCTCCAAAAGTCTCATACCAGCACTCAGTGCAAGTCTTTGGGACCCGGTGTTGTGGGGTTTGCAGCAGTCAGAGGTAAGCCTTCCCTCAGCAGGGCAGTAATTAATATTCTTAATGAACTAGCCAGGTAAAAAACAGGGATTAAATCTTTTAGAAAAAAAAAAAATTCCCAGAAAATATTCCATACCCTTGATGTGACTTGTGATGGGAGCAATGCCTTCTAATTTGGTCCATGATAGATGTAAATAGCAATCCATCATCCTAAACCAAGATCTTGTGCATCCATACTTAAAGGTGGGTCACTGAGATTGGCAGAAACATGGCAGCCCTTAAAATCAAATCCAGCATAGTAATCCGTTGATCATCACTGATCATTACTATTGGCCCATTAGTCTTACCTTAGTCCTGGGGAAGCTCTTTGAGAAAATTATCCAGGTGCACATCTGCGAGGGGCAAGCAGGGGAGGTTATGCTTAGGAGCAACCAACATGGGTTCATCAACCTGGTGGCCTTCTACGACCAGGTCACAAAAGCCTTAGACGCAGGTGTCGCAGTGGATGTAGTCTTTCTAGACTTTAGGAAGGCCTTTGACACTGTCTCTCACCCCATCCTCATTAAAAAATTAGGCAACTGGCGTCAACGCCTACACAGTCAGATGGGTTGCTAATTGGCTGGAGGGCTGCACCCAGAGAGCGGTGGTGGACGGGTCCTATTTGACCTGGAGGGACGTGGGCAGTGGGGTCCCCCAGGTCTCGGTCCTCGGGCCTGCACTGTTCAACATCTTCATCAGCGACTTGAACGAGGGGGTGAAAAGCACCTTGTTCAAGTTCATGGATGACACTAAGATGTGGGGAGAAGTGGGCACAGTAGAGGAGAAGGACAGGCTCCAATTATATGTGGACAGGTTACAGGGGTGGGTGGAAGGGAACAGAATGGGTTTCAACACTGACATGTGCAAGGTGCTGCAACCTGGGGAGGAAGAACCAGCAGCACATCTACAGGCTGGGGAACTCCCTTCCTGTCAATGCAGAGGCAGAAAAAGATCTTGGAGTCATTATTGACTCCAAGATGAACATGGGCCGCCAATGTGAGGACGCGGTCAGGAAGGCCAAGCGCACCTTGTCATGCATCCACAGATGCATCTCAAGCAGGTCCAAGGAGGTGATCCTCCCCCTCTATGCAGCACTGGTCAAGTCGCATTTGGAGTACTGCATCCAGTTCTGGGCGCTGCACTTCAGGAGGGATGTGGACAGCATGGAGAGGGTCCAGAGGAGGCCACTTGCATGATCAGGGGGCAGCAGGGCAGGCCCTACGAGGAGAGGCTATGGGACCTGAACCTGTTCAGCCTCCACAAGAGAAGGCTGAGAGGGGATCTGGTCGCCATCTACAAACTGGCCAAGGAGGACCAGCAGGCTATGGGAGAGTCCCTGTTCCCCTGAGCACTACCGGGAGTAACAAGGAATAACGGCCATAAATTGACTGAGAGCAGATTCAGGTTAGATATCAGGAGGCACTACTTCATTGTCAGGCAGCTAGGATCTGGAACCAACTTCCAAGAGAGGTGGTGCTGTCTCCTACCCTGGGGGTCTTCAAAAGGAGGCTAGATAATCACCTTGCTGGGGTCGTTTGACCCCAGCATCCTTTCCTGCGCATGGCAGGGGGTCAGACTTGATGATCTGCTCAGGTCCCTTCCGACCCGACCAGCTATGAAACTTACAAATTGAAAGCTAACCCATTTTCATTCTAGTTCTCTGCATGCTTCTGAAAGCAAGCCTCATGGAGTGGGAGCATATTTATATTTTGGAAATTTGTCTTTCAAGAACACGCTCTTCGCTCTTTGACCAATTGTATTCTTATGTGCAAACCAACACGTCCTCCATAAGCATGGCTGCAGGGATGAATTCAAGTGTGGTGTAGTGGCGTGGGCAGGCTCCCCCCTCAACCCACTTCCAGCTGTGTCCTGCACGCACCATGTGGCACATACACGTGAGCTGTCTTCCCTGCATGTACACCCCACCCTTGTCGCTGCAGTCTTTGGTAGCAGAGTGCTGGTTGAGTAGTTCCTAATTTTATTTCTGTGAGGAGGAGATGCTCTTCAATGCCTTCTGGCCTGCCTGGTGCGAGCACTCGTCATTGCCTTCCCAACACTCTGATGCCGTGGACTTGGATTTCTCCCGAAGCGCGTATCTTTTCTCTATCCCTTACCTAATGGCTATGGGGAGGAGCATGATCTCCCTGGTGGCAGACCTGAACACCGCAGGAACGACGAGTGTACCTCCGCCTTCTCGGTAATTAATTTCACATTGTCATTGGTAGGTCCTGACTTGAAAAATCTTCACTTGCAAAACTAAGCCGGTGGCTGTACAGTCATGTTGCTGTGCAGTTCTCGGCAATTGTGAACATCTCTGCTATGTAACAGACACACCACCAGATATCTGTTCATTAAGCTGCAGATACTTTGGAGCATCAGCAGCCCCTGATATGCCAGCTCTGATGGCACCCAGAAGTCATCCTTTTCCTGGTCCAGGTGTGCATCTCATTCAAGTTTGGACTCTTCACCTTGCAAGAAAATGTGGACCAGTTTGTCATGCTGGGCCACTCTGCAAGGTGGAAGACAGACCCACTCGTACATAATGTGTAACTTCGTGAAAGGGTGTTGGAAAAGCGGTTTCAATCTCTGGTGACACAGGTGTTTTGTTACTGAAAGGTGTTTCATGCTTGGCCTTTGGGGTGGGGATGGGGAGCACTCGCATTTGCACTTTCACCTTCTGATTTTAACTTTTTTATAATAAAGGTATTTATTACAGGAGCTGTCTGATTAACTTGTCTTGAAATGCATGCATGGCTTCATTGCTCTTGGGACAGGAGTTAGCTTGAGCGTGTTCAGGTGTGTTGAGGCATTAGTTTGAGCATGGCTTGCATTTCTGCCGTCACCTGAATGCTGCGAGACATTCTTAGGATGCAAGTCCTTGTTCTGTAACATGTCGTGCTGTATGTGAATGACACTGGAAGGGGGAGGATGTTTTGCAAAGGGGTGAAATGTATCTTGGTGTTAAGTTTGTGTTGCAAAGCACTGGTGGATTGGCCAAAAAATAAATTATGTAGTTTCTCTCTTTAAAAAACAAACAAACAAGAAGGGGCCTAAGTCTCAAAGTTTGGATCCCAGTCTAGTTTCAGATTTCCCCATAGAAACCATCCAAATCCTTCCCATCTTCCAGAGCAACAAGTAGTACATCTGCACCCTGCCCATGTGCAGCTGTTCCCACTCAGGAAGCTTGAGGGCAGGCTCCATGTAAAAACAGTGAAGTGCAGCATTTGGAGAGTCTTTATTTTACAGTCTGGTTGCTTTGCTGGTATTCACACTCCATGGGAGAGGTAAGTTTCTAGGATTTTTTTTCTTTGCTATGAATTGAAGGGGAGAAAACTTGAAGACCTGTCTTCTATTTAGGAAGGCTGCTCTTAAAGACAGTGCAGAAATTCAGTTCTTAGTTTTTAAATTCTGCTGATAGCCAGTGCAAACTTGTATTCTGAATCAGTTTTAAAAGCATGTGTCTGGGTGCCTGCAGACGGCTTGAAAAGGAAAGCAGCCTGCATTCACCTGAGGTTGTCTGTTTTCGTTCCCTTGCATTGTATTACCGCTTTTCTGAATTGAGTCTTCCCATCTCTGTCCGTCTTCCTGCCTTTGCAGCATGCCTCTGATTGTTGATTTACTAGACAGCAGAGAATTGCTGGAAACTTGCCTTGATGATACCACCGGCCAACCTGGGGCTGGTTTGACAGCAGGAGCTCTAGAAGAGGCAGATCTGAGCTTCCCTCATCCTGGCACGAAGGAAACAGCTGCTGAGAAAACAGAGCCTGCTGGTAAAGAAATTCTTGAGTCATTGTCATTAGCCTTGCTTGTAGAGACAGAAGTGCACAGTACTGGTATTATTTTGATGACTGATGGTTATATAGCAATTTCTCTACAAAAATCCTGAAGCGCTTAACAGATTTCATAAAATTATATGTATAGGGATTGCTTCACCCAGCACCAAAATGAAGCCACCTCTGGACTATACAATATAGCAGTTGTTTTCTATGTTTCTGAATACAGAAGTTTAAACTATCCCACTGAGAACGCTGGGCAAATTCTTGATGGATGGAATGTGGCTTGTGACCACCAGTCATTCAACTAGAAGGGTTTCAGGATTTCAGAATAGCACAAATAATACTTGTCATTTTTACCGTATTCTAATTATTACATGCTGATTTGTTTTGGGGTTTAGGGTAGTTTGGCAAAGGTATAAGCAATGAAATTGGTCATATATTGAATCGGCTATTAGATAAAAGTACCAAAAAGCCCCACTGAAGTGAGCGATCTATACAGACACTGCAGAGCTGGGTCAAACTGACACGCTGCCTCTTCTGGTAAAGTGCAGGGTTTGTTGGGGCTTTTTTCCACATGTCAGCAGCTAAAATGCCTTGTATTTTAGTGAGCTTCTCTGAGCCACCCTTTAAGGTTGGGGGGGAGGGGGTGCTGTTATGCCTGGTTTAGAGATGAGAAACAGGTAGAAGCAGACAAAGTGGTTTGTCTGTGATCTCTCAAAGTCTGTAACTGAGCAGGCAACCGTGCTCTCCCAAGTCCTAGGCCAGTACTCTAACACTGAACAGTCCTTCCTCTTTAGCCCCATTACATATTCCCAAGGCCAGGCATCGTGCAGAAACATCTCCTTACTAGTCCCCAATTGTGCATCCCCTCAGGCTTCCTTCTTGCTCTTTTCTTTCTTTGGCTAGGATGCTGTCCCACATGCCCCAGTTTACTTTACCTGTTGGGAGCACCTTTCTAACAATGCTTGTTCACACATCATTTATTAATTTCCACAGTGAGACCAAGAGAGCTCCATCAGCCACCTCCTAACCGGGCACATCTACACAAGACGCTTACTATGGAGCTGACTCAGCTCCACAGTACAGTGTCAGGATCTACACATGCAGTGCTGTTAGGCTGAAGTAAACTCATTCACTCCACTGTAGAATAGTACTGTCTAAAGCAAGTCACTGCTCCGCCACAACGCACGTGTTGATGCTGACATGGCTGGCTGGGGGCACGGGGGTGCTGCCTGCTGGTTAGCCCCGCACTGGAGCACCCTCATGTCCCACCCAGCCCCTCCGCAGGACGTTGAGCTGGGTCGGAGCAGCCCCAGGCTGACAGGATGACCCCCCTGCCAGCCGGGGCTGCTCCACTGCAGCTCAATATGCTGCAGTCCCAGGTGCATGTGTAAACGCTATGCCCAGGAGCAATAAACTCCAGCTTGAGCTCTGCCGGAATTTATTGCATTGGATTTATTTCACATATAGGTGGGCCCATAGACCTTTACAGATAAAACAGTTGTCCCTAGGTAGGGATTAAACTTTTCATTGCAGAGCAGAAAACAGTGCCAGGCTGAACATGTAGCACCATCAAAGCTGTTGAAAATCCAGAAGTCCTGCATGCTTTTAGGTCTGTCCCTTCAGTAACCTGCGAGCTTGCAGTTGCATGCCAGTAGTAGCCACTAGCTCAGAATCACCTTTGTGCGGCCATAAAAAATTTATATGGCAGCATAAAACCAAAGCAAATAGATGTCTGTACCCTTTGTCACGTCACAACGTGGTTGTGACAAAAGGTAGCAACAGTTTGTTCCACTTGATTGCAACGGACACCTTGTTTGCTCTACGGCAGATGAGAGAGAGCAGCATGGAGCTGCCCGTACTCTCCAGCTGCCCTGGACAGGCACTTTCAGGCTTGAGGGGCCAAGCCCTGCATGCTCTGGAAATTCCTGTGCAGGATCAGGCCCTTCAAGCCTCTGGCGCGCTGGCCCAGCTTTCACCATTTCCAGAGATGTCCCCGCAGGATCTCCAAGGAAATGTCTCTGGAAATGGGAAACACATCACCGGTGGTGCCTCAAGGTATGCTTTGCCCAGTAAAGTAGAACAGCTGTGCAGGGGCTCACCCCTACACAGCTGTTCTACTTCATGGGAACCACATGTTTTTATAGCCTGTGATTCTCAACCAGGGTGCCATGGCAGGCTGGGGTGCCTTGAGATCCTTTCAAGGGTGCCGTGGGGTGCTACACAATGTTAGCACTGTCAGGTGTGTAAACATGGTTTCACAAGGGAACTCCAGAGACTTCAAATAGGAATCCACAGTGTCAAAACCATCCTGGCCTGCAGTGGGCTTTCCGAGTTCTTTGCAAACAAAGAATTGCTTTCTTAGTTTTCTGTAATCAAAAAAATGTGCAAACAAAAAGCTGGCATTTTCTGAGGGATGCCTTGAGTCTAACAAAGTTGAGAACCACTGCACTAGCTTGAAGCAATAGACTAATGTTTTAAAGAGACTTAGTTGAATGTTTTACTATATAACAGTCTTTTATCATAATGAATAATTCAGTAGCTGCATACATCACAATTTTTTGCATTCACAAGTTGGGTAGACTCAGACACAGTCATGCAGTTAGTTCAGTAAAAGATGCAGTTAGTCAACCACCCAATTCGTTGCCTCTTGCATTAAATGTTTCCATGACGTTTTAAGGCTGACTCCTTATGACAACAAAACTCCCTTTGATAACTCCATCAGGAATCGGAAGGGTAGAGGTTAAATGCCATGTTACTCCAGAGCTTCAGTTGTATTTTATATCTTTTTCAGTGTTCGAAGAGTCCTTATTGAAACTGAAACAGATGGAGACAGAGCCCAGCCCACTGCCAGCGTCCCCTTCCAACATAAACATCAATGTCAGCAAGCAGGTACTTGGGTTACTTTCCTCCTCCCCAATTTACTGGGCTTGTTGCGCCTATTCTGAGAACTTTCTTCCTGGTTCTCATTCTACTTGAAAGCTATTCAAAAACACAAGCAAATCAATTGAAACGCTGGGTTTTATAGAATATTCTGCAGGAGGGAAGAATTTCAGCTGTTTCCCAGCATGAGGATAACATTTGAAAGGTATTTAGGTGCACGCAGGCATCTATCCGGTGGGATTTTCAGAAGTACTGAACTCACACGGAGTCTAGGGTACACCAGAACTGCAGTCAGCCTTTAATGTCCTGTGCAGCCAGACTGGTACACAAACTATACCGGCTTCCTGCAGTGTTGAAGCTGTATTGAAGAATGACTGATTCTTTTCTCTTGCTGAAAGGTAAGTTTGGGTTTATGCACTTTCCTGATCAGGCATTTGTTGGGCTGAGACTGTGCAACTTGTGCTCACATTCACGAGCACTTAGTCCAGCAGAACAATTTGTGGGTACAAGTGCCCACCTTTCCTTTCCAGTGGGCTGCAGTGTGGGTGCTAGAGGAGACTGCCTCTACTAAACCATCAAAACTGTGGGTGAATATTTAGCAAAGATTTCATTGTTTGTTTCTCTTAAAGGAGAGCTGGATTCACTCAGGATTTGACCAGTTTGGAGGAGAGATGTTGCAGAGGGGCAGAGCATTCGCCTAAGCAGTAGTATTTAAAAACAAGCAAATCATGTGGAATGAAGCGTGACGTGTCCATCTGGCCTCTTGTCCTTGGCCTGATGGGGCCCGACTCTTCTTTCAGGATTCCCTAGAAATTCAGTTTTATGTTCCCTCCAGCGACTGCAAAGCGCTCCCCCCAAATGCTACAAATGCCAGCTGCGAGTTGTTTGTTTGCATAGGAAGGAGGCAGCCTACCGCTCGCTGCCCCTTGGAATGACCCCAGTTTTTGCATTAGCCCCCGAGTGAGCTCCAGTTTCCTTTACCTCCCTGTGGAAGCTAATGGGACTTCTTGTTTTCATTAAGTTGGATCAGATCCTGGGAGAGGTTGGCATTACTGCTCATTCTGCCAAAAGGCTGTAGTTCGTAGATGTTCTTAGTTACTGGATTTTTTTATTCTGATCACCTATAAGAGCTGTTGTCTAGGATGCCTTGTGTACCTTTCTGTTTGGTGACTATTACGAAGATTATGAAGCGCCTAAGAGGATTAGTCTGTAGCCTGTAGGTCTTGCTGTGCATCAGAATAAACAAAGATAAATGGATGCAGTTTCTTTCAGAATATCTGGGCCTGTTTGACTCCCTTCTAGCTTTAAACAAAGAGAGAGACAGTTCTGCAGCTGAAATCCAGAGAGACTAGAATGAAAGTGTTCACACTACTGCATGGTGACTCAGGTGGTGCACGCACACTGAGACTCGCTTAATGAGCTGTTCTAGCAATCAGATACCCACACAGTACAGCCATGATTATCCAGATGTCACGGAGGACATGCAGTAACTGCAGATCGGGGCTGTTGACACTCCAAAGTATTTGCAGTGTAATTAGCAGATAGTTGGTGGTGTGTCCGTGTTGCATAGCAGAGATGTCCAGAATTGCTGAGACCTGCACAGCAACATGACTGTACGGCCATGTGCTTTGTTTTGCAAATGAAGACTGCCAGTGACCTTCTAAAATTAATTATAATGAGGGCTGAGGTATGCACTCACTGTGTTCCTCTGGTGTGGAAGGAGGAATGTCTGAGTAAAGCGTTTTCAGCACTGCCAATTCTTAGCAAGCTTTATCTGGAAAACGTTTGTTATTTAAAAAAAAAAGTTAGAAATTACCGTATTTGCTTTAATCCAAGATGACTTTGAATTTAAGGTGACCCCCCAATAATTAGATTCTATATGTGGAAAATGATAAATGGGTTAAGATTTTCTGTATACAATCTAATTAGTGGAGGGTGGTCTTAAATTTGTTGTCCCCCTCCCCCCACTACTGTGATTGGGAAAGCAGCAGCGGAGGGTGAGGGGCCAGATCCCTGTCCCTTGCTCCCCTGCCCCCATACTTTCCCCTTGCTGCTCGCTCCCCATACTTGTGCCTGTCACCCATTCCCTGCCTCCCCGACCCCCGGTCCCTGCAGCCTGCTCCCCCCCTCCCATTGCAGTCAGTGCCAGTGGGGTGCAGAATTGTAGAAGCAGGAGACCAAGAAACTTGGCAAACTGTTGTATGCCAACAGATCAGCTCAGTAGCTCCCTGCTTCTGGAAGCCGATGGTAAAGTAATTTCCAAGCGACATTAACAGACGTCAGTATAACGTTCAGATCGGTTCTGTCAAATGCAAGACTTGAACTTTTGATCTCCGAAGTTCAGAGCTTGCCTGTCAGCTTCATCTTGGAGCTGTTGTGCATTTACATGCACTTTTGATTAATTTTTAGGGAAATACCTGCTGATCTATCTGACCCCTTTAGACAGGAGAAAATCATTCTGGAATAAGAATAAGCATGAATGGCTTGATTCTTCATCACTGGTCACTGGTGCTCGCTGCCAAATTTTGTTGGAATGGAAGCATGAGACTTTGTTACTCCCAAGCTTTTGACTAGCGCAGTGGCTGAATTTGAGGGATGTGACAAAGGGGAGCAATTAGCTTTTAAATGCAGGCGTTCCATCTCCATCAGCATCCTGAATGTGGCGAACAATGAAAGCTAACCCCAGTGCCTGAGGATGAGCCTGATTTTCCTTTTCTGTTTTTTGGTTAGTTTTAAGAACCCAACAGACCTCAGAAAACAAAAGTCACCCAAAAACACGGGTATCCCAACACTGTGTCGTGGGGGGAGAGAGGCTTTCAAAGCTTGGAGGATAGACATCTGCCCAGCTGCCAGGCAGTCAGTGGGAACTGAGCATCTACCTCTCACTTTGTGCCTTAATCTTTCTACTTCTGCCTTGAGCTCTCTGGCTGTATTTGTATGGTTTTATGAAGTGAAGTGATGAGATGCATTAAAAATGTTTTATAGAACAGATGCCCGATAATGAAAAAGCGAAGGTTCGCTGTTTGTTCATTCTGTAGGAGCAATGAGAACTGGAGCAGACCTGGGATATAGGCAAGCCTGCAGTGTTAGATCTCTGTCAGCCACCCAAATTAATGTCGTGTAAATTAGATATATTGAGGGCTTACCATGTGCAGAATACTTCTGTTCCTGACCATATGGTGCTGTTTGCTTTCTCTATTTCTGTTTCCCATAAAATAGAAATGGCAAAGACAAGCATGTACTCGTCTGAATAGAAATGTTTTCTTGGCATTTAAATACCATCTCTTCATTGATCATTTTTAAACATTTCCCAAACAGTGCTGGGAACCCAGACACATGCTTCTGCTCGAGTCAGAAGGTAAAATTACTGATAAGGAAAGGGTGAAACTACCCAGATGAGGTGCCTTGTCTAACCGTAACAAACTGCAGGAAATGTAAACCACAAAATAGTGATAAATAATGAGCATATCTTTTTAGTTATAATCAGTTGCTCATTGTAATGCTAGAAGAATGAATTGCAGAAAATGCATGTAGAGGTTGTCCTTTTTGCTTTATACCGTGTCTAGCAAAAGAATTATGAGTAAACAAGTTGCGTATTATAGTAACACAGATAATACAACCTACTAGCAGCGGTTTTTACTCTCCAGATTGCTGCATCATTTCATATATGAGTGAATTTCCCACCTTAGAAACATCTGCTGGCTATAGTTAATGGCAACATGAATTTGTTTTCATGAATGTTATGCTTCCAATGGTCTTTTCAAAGCTTCTACCAACTTTGTGCCTCATTGATCGAGGCCAGAGCTTTCAGATTTGTTCCCCTAGAGTTGGGTTTGTAAATGCGTAATTAAACTCCTAAACAGGTGGCTTTATTGCAAAAGGATTCTTGTGCCTGGCAGCTGCCAGTGAAAGTCTTTCTTTGTCCTTTATATATAGGAGGGGTTGGCAACTTTCAGCCGCAGGCTGTTTCTGGTTTGCGGTCAGGGCTCTGGTAGCAGGGGGCTTTATCCATGCCACAGCTGGGCTCTTTGCTCGTGCTGTGGTGTCTGGACAGTGGGGAGAAGCAGTGGCAGCATCAATGGCCAGGTCCTGTGGCACCAGCCTTGGACCCACGTTGGGTTGTTATGGCCTGCTGCCGGAAAACAACGGTGACCCCTGATTTATCGTTTTAATGAATGGGTGGCTGGGCGTGAGGGGGAATTTCGTGGGCTGGAGAGACCCTTGTCTTATTATAATTGATGGGTAGCCACAAAGATGTTTTCTGTTCAGAAGCCAGAGGCCCAGTCCCACTCTCTACCTACACCAGTGGTTATCAGCTGGAGTGCCGTGAGGCCCTCCAAGGGTGTCACGGTGTGGGTACAACCACCACTGCCGCAGCCAAGTGGAGCTGCCCCACGCACCTTATGCACAACCAGATCAGGAAGGGCTGTGGCACAAGTATGTGTTTCCACTTGCATTAAGGTTATCTGATAAGCCCAAAGCAGGCCGCAGTGGGCTCTCTTGCTGCGGCCCTTCCTGGTGCAGCCCTGCATGCTCTCTTCTAGAAACAGTGGTGCACAGGGCAGGTTGCAACCGTCCTGCGTGCCTGTTCCTAGGTGGAGCATGGGGGGCCAGTCTGGTAAGGACTGGCAAAAGCAGGTGCGACTGCCTGCTGTAGGCTAATCCAGATGTGCATGAGGCAGCAGAGCCCTGGTTGAGAATCACTGAAGTAAGCTGAGACGGGGGTTCTCCAGCAGGGTACTGCCAGTTCAAATACTCATAATAATAAGAAGTTTTATGGAAGGGTCCCTTGAATCTAGAAAGGGCGGGAACCACTGACCTACCTAAACAGACCCCAGACCCCTTATGTAGAAAACAAATAGGATTTTGCCTGTAGCGGGAGATTTGCCTGCTTACTTACTAAGCAACTAATTGTGCAGAGCTAGGGTTAGCAGCATTTTCCAGCAAAGGGGCTGGAATGACCCAGCTCAGGCTGGAGGCGACAGGTAGGACCTGACCCCTCCTACCGCTTCTCACGTGCAGTGTGGCAAAGCCCCCTCCGCCTGCCGGAGCCTGTGCTTCCCAACTGCGTTGCGGCGCAGGGAGAGGTGCTGAATGCCACCCAGCTCTGCAGGCTGGATCCAGAGGCTCCACGGGCTGTAGGTTGCCAGTGAACAAACGTAAAACCCGTAGCCAACGCATGCACTGTAGAACAAGCGGTGCTCTTTTAGATGGTCCCAGTTTGTCTGCTGCGGTATAGACAGACCTAACAATTGTACTCTATCAAAGGCTATTGAAACAGCAGCATGGTGATGCCTGCATGATCCAGATGCAAATATAGCAAAATCACTTCAGTTTTTAACCCTGTTTCATTTGGAGTCAGTTGGAACTATTAAGCTCACTGCATTTACTCAAATGTAAATTAACTCTTCAATAATTAGATTCTATATATGGAAAATTTAGAAATTTGCTACGATTTTTCAGGTATAGAATCTAATTATTGGAGATCCATCTTGAATTGGTCCTCCTCCCACTACTACAGCAGGGAAAATAAATCTAGGGCAGTCAGGTGGCCTCCTTGCCCTCTATCTCGCTCCAGCTTCTTCCCCTTGCAGCCCCCTTCCTTACCATCAGACTCAGCTCTCCCTGGGCACCTGGAAGTGAAGAGCAAATTTGGAAACACCGACCTCGAAATGCACGTACCTGTGGGAATTTGCATAGAGTACTCATAGACTAGTTCATCCAGAATTGATTGATTTTTCCTTTTTTAGGAACTGCTGCAAGTTTTAGCACAGATACTCCATAAATGCTTTTAAGCAGCACTTCTGTACCTATGTATATACAGTGCAAACTATGTATGATATTAGTCCAAATCCAAACCGTTCATGAGTTGCCATAGAGTTCATTGGACTGGGCCCCTGCAGAGTCGACAGTGTTTCCAGCTGTGGTGACCCCACTGCTCGGTATGTCCACGTACTCCAGATTAGCCCCCTACTCATGACTGGAACTGGGTGTTCTTGTCACAAGTCCTGGGATCCTCCAAAAATGTATATGCAGGTGAGGCGCAGGCAGCCTAGTCCAGCTTCACCTCCCGGAGGGCAGGGACCACACTAATATATGTGCTAGGCTGAGAGAGGGGGCAACAGAGGGATTCTGAATTAACTGCTTGGGGCCCCGTTTCATGATGTTTGCTAGACATTTAAGTAGGGTGACCATAAGGACATCCAGGACACTCCCCTCCCCACACCCCCACCTCCAAGTCGTTGGCAATGCTGCAGGCAGTGGCGGAGGCGGAGGCCGGTGGGCAGCGGCACGGGCGCCGTCCAGCAGAGCTGCTTGGCATACAATACTGTTCTGCCTCCTTGCCGGATGATTCTGGGGCACTTGTTTTAATTTTCACCAGCCACCTGGGACTGACCTGTGAAATCTGGGACTGTCCTGACCAAACCGGGACGTATGATCATCCTACATCTAAGGCTGGGGAAGAAACAGGAATCATTGGAAATGGAAAAGAGAGGCACAGCTCAGCTGTGGGAGTAAAGAGGAGGTTAAAATGTATGCTATGTTGTGGCTCACTGTGACTTGAAAAACAGCGCTGAGGGCGACTGCTCTCAGCGGGCATGGCCCTACATTTTATTCAGGTGGCCTGTACTAGCCTATGCTTGTGGTAGGTTCCCATCAGCATGGTTGTTCAGTTTGAGCCATGTGTATTATTATCATGCTCAATGTTGGCTGCATTCAATCAGCTTCATAGTTGGTTTCCATTACTGAGCATGTGTTGCTTTTGGCAACAGTTTAATGATTGTCATGTTTTTAATGAAGTATGTGAATGTAAGATGAGGGACTTTCTTCCCCATGCTGATTGGGGCAGAAAGCTTGTATTGGAGTAAATACGGTGTATTGCTACAGACTTGTGTGCAGCATAACCCTTAATATGCACTTCCAAACGGCAGCTTCCCCTCCCCTTTTAAAGCAGCCTAAAAATATGTTGATGCATAATCCAGTAGGCTTCTCCAAAATAGCCAAGTGGGAAAGGGGCTGGTATATCAGGCTGTTTAGTTGAATTTACAGCTGGGGCTTACAGAAAAAACAAACTTTCTGCTGCATTTGAGAATGAATGATCAACTGCTTTCAAAGCATAAATTGATTACAAATGGTGTGGTACCATTTAAACAGAGAGGATTTAAAACCCGACTAGAGGGGAGCGATACCATATGTACGACTGCATGCCCCAATCTCGTACTGCATGGAAAATTGTGAGTTGTTTATGGCACTGGCTTACCTCTGTGTTTCAAAGACTTAATTTTCATATAAGGTGGTGGTGGAGCCAGCTCTGGGCCAGTGTGCTGGGAACAATGTGTGTTGCTTCTCTAATGGTGGAGGTGAGAGCAGTCGGTGCTTTGCACCAGCAAAGTGCTGTGGAAACGGCCTGGATCCTGCACGCCTTCGCACTAGGGTTCTGGGCTCCAGACCCACGTGCCTAGCACTACGTGCAAGTTGAGGTGAAGCACTAGGCGTGAAGTGCTGATGAGTCTTGCACCCCTCTGTGCCCCTTCCCTTTTCCACTTGGCAGAGAATGGGTGTGTCAAGGGGGATGCGATGGAGCATCACCCGCAGGATGGTGACACGGCTCAGTGTTTGCCCGCACAAAACGTGGGAGGTAGCTGGTGGATCTGCCATAGCAGGCTTGTTAATGCAGCGTGAGGGTCCCTGCTGTCCGTGTCAGTTATACCAAATCTTTGCCTCGCATTTACATTTATGAATGCCTCCCCCTGCGCCTGTACTGTGGGCTCAAGCTCTTGCTGAGTAACCCTTTGCTAGTTCACAAACAAGTTCCAAAACAAAGCTGGGAATCATTTGTGTTCCCCCAAATGCGTCATCCTTATTCTTCCCTCTCCCGCCCCCCATCAGAGCTGTTTCTCTGGGGTTGATGTTAATGAGTTTCAGCCAAAGCCAGGCTAGCTCTTTCTAATAAAAGATTTTCCCATTCTAGGAGGAGGTGGTAAAACTGACCAATAAATGCCTGAACAATGCAATTGAGAGCCCAGCAACGACACCTGTGTGGCATCCTGCAGACTTAAAGAGCAACATCCTGAAGGCCCAGGCCGAGGCAGTGCACAAGGTAAAGCTTGTCTGAGAAGGGATGTGCAGTTCCTAGCTGTTTCCCTGCAGATGGGCTACAAAGGACATGATCAGCAAGGCTTAAAGCACAGCCCTTGAGTGACTCGGTCACTCAGAGGCATTCCCCTGCAGGTGTACTCTTTGGATGTGAAGGAATAAATCTGGGTCAATCAGGTGGTCAGTCCCCTTGCCCTGTACCTTGCTCCAACTTCTTCCCCTTGCAGCCCCTTCCCCCCTTCCTTACCATCAGACTCTGCTCTTCCTGAGCACTTGGAAGTGAGGAGCAAATTTGGAAACGCCGACGTTGAAATGCACATACCTGTGGGAATGTGCATAAAGTACGCGTAGACTAGTGCATCCACCCCCTGCAGCCAGAGGTGGTTAGTGACACAAGAGCAGAAGCATATGGCACCTCTGCCTGCCCGGGCATTGGGACTGCCCTTCAGCACGTCCCCATTTTTCCTTTTAACAAAGTTGTGAATAAGCTTGGTGCTCACACATGCCAGCTGGTTTATTAAGGAATGTCCATTGTTGATTTGGGGACAAGACTTTGGGTGGTTTTGCATCTGCCCTGAGCTTTCTGCACTGACCAGATATTCCTGC